TCTGATGAAATATTGATTGTTTGCTCGGGTAAGAAATTGCTATTCTGAAGAGCATTTGAGTTTTACTGTAGGAGTTTGACCACGTTTGCCTCCCGGAGATACGCGTTTCTTTGTAAAAAAAAATCTACAAAATCTACCTTAGATGACGCAACAATTTTCAATAAGTTGTAGATGAGAAATGAATGGATAGTATTTCTGTCTTGATGTGTAACACATCGTGACTGATAACAGGAAAGCCAAAAGAAGGAGACTTGCAACCTGCTCTTTTTTTTTTTCTTTTTTTTTTGCACATATCGAAGCATCCCACTCGGCTGTGATGCTGGTTGCTCGACGCTCAATGTTGCTGTTGTGTCTGTGTATTTCTGTTGAGCTTGTAGCGTGCCTTCAGTAACTGATTCAGCGGCTGATACTGAGTGAATGTTACAGTCAGTAATGAGTCATGATATGGTTGGGAGGGAGCTCTGAGATGGAATGTAGGAAAAGAAACAACCAACCCCCGAGGGCTTGGAAAACATACTCAACCTTAATCCTCAGCAGAGAGGTACACAGCTCACCCATCCCCTCCCCCCCTCCTCAATTGCTTCCCAAATCCCACAACCCCCCCCTGGTCCACCTCACGCCTACTTGGCCTTTGTGTTTTGTCTGTTGCATGACAGTCACTGGTAACTTAAAGCTGCTGTAATCAATATATTAACAGTGGATCAAGTTGGTGTACAGATAATTACCAAAGATCCACAACTGGGCTGTTGTGATTCACTCTCCAAGCTCTCATCAGCTTTGTGGTCAACCACAGCAGAAAATTAGCTCTGATGAACCAATCATACACCAAACAGCAGACGGACACTGCGGTAAACATAGTGGAGGATTTCCCCATGAAGAAAATAGTTGGTGGAAACCACCTGGAGCTTAATAGAAAGGGTTGATTACACCTATGACACATACTGCTCCGTCTCTGATGTCTCTGTAAAGAAGCGACTGCTAACGGGTTTACTATATTTCATGTTGTTGATGTTTACAGTGCAAAAAGGAACAGTGTATGCAGAGTGCAGCTTGACATTTGTTTATTTGATTTACATTTTTATATTTTTTTTGCTGCTTCAGTGGAATAATACAACTATACAAGTCAGGAGAATAAACGAGAAAATTCATTCAGTGCTCGGGAACATAGACTGCGTAAAAAAGATGGATGTGGCAACTGTGAAATCATCCATATAGCATTTTGAAGGGTCAAGTTTGGAATTAGGGCGTCTTGATCTTTTGAAAACGGACATGACAAGTGAAGGGTGAAGCTGACTAAGAACTGGTAAACATTACTTACACTCATACTGTGGCAACATGTCAATCACAAGTTGACCACGCCCTCAAACGTACTCTGCTTTATCATCTATTTATCGCTAAATGGGACTATAATTTTTAAAATGAACATCGTGCTGTAGTGAAGAAGACTTGAAAATAACAATTGAGACCATAAACTCCTTCAAATAATGTTTGCTGAGGTAACAAATCAAGTTAGCAGTAGGGCCATTTTGTATACAATCAGACTTAAGGCATCGCCCCCTGCTGGCTGTTAGAAAGAATGCATGTTTAAGGCACTTTAGCTTTTCAAACCCTGAAGCTACGCCCATGTTTTATGTCCAGTCTATGCTTAGGAAACCTAAATATTGAGCAGAAATTTGCTATAGAGCTCCACAGAGCTTCGAAAAACCCCACGTAGGCATGCAACCCATTGTTGTTATAAAAAAAGTTAATGATAGCAGCGCTAAGCTATAACACATTTCTCAAGTCTATTGTTTCCTTTAAGCCTGAGTGACAGCAAGCATTCTGTGCATCTGAGCACTGCATATATGTTGAAAAATGTGGGAACGTTCTGTATCACGGAAAATACAACACGCTCAGGCTGCAGCGCAGTTAGCGGGGGAGTGAGTTGTTTCTAACCTATGCCCCTGGGTTTAATAATAACCGTCAGATCCAAAAGTCAGTTAATTAGAGAAATACCACAGAGGCACTCAGACAACCCTGCTGAGCTCGCTACCCTTCTTAAATATGTCAAACCACCCCTCCCCCCCTACACACTTATAAGCCATAAGCAGCAATACTATAGTTTGTGGGATTTTCCGCACCAGCGTATTTCCATAACCACCCATCCCAGTGTTCCACAACTTAAACTTCTCAGTCCTCAAGTGCCTACTCCCTGCTTAAATTTGAAACAGTAGTCGACTCTCTGGCATGAGATTGCACAGCTGTGGGGGGACAGTTTTGTCATTCGCGTCTTTATTGTCAAAGCCAATTTCAACTCATTAAATAATCATCTTTCACAAGTTTCTGAAGTCGGAATACTTGCGGTGGATTGTTTTCCACTTCGAGTTTGAATTACACATTGGTGCCATGCCTGGATAGTACGCTGAGATTGGCACTTGATACATAGACGTACTTTATGATCTATCACATTGCACAAAATCACAGGCTTAATTAGGAAACTCAAATTATATCCATCCCTAAATGCTATGTTATTTAAAGCCTTTGAACCAAGTTCCCTGCGTTTGTCTACTGTACAGACAGAACTGGCTTAAAGCCTGGGAGGCATCCAGTCCACACAGAGGGCTTTCATTTACTCCCAGCATGTACACAGATGCACAAATAGCTGCAACCATAGTATGAGAGAGTTACCATTCACTCGCTCACTAGAACCTATATGGAGCCTGCGTTTTATGGCCACCCTTTTTTTTTTTTTTTTTTTAGGTTTGACGTAATCCTCGTAGCTACGATTTTGTAAACATAGTAGAACTCAGCCAAACGGGTGACGCACAAATATAATCTGACACAATTCTGATATTTAATCTTATGGTAATGTCTGTAGCTTCTTCACTTTTTCTCTCTTTCTAAAATCCATCAGACATGCAGCAGTTCCCATGAGGTTCTTAGCCCTCAGATTTTGTCAGCGAACTATTCATTGGGAAAGTATGTAGGTCAATCTGCTTTGCTCTTTATCTAAAGCCATACAGATATGTGGCAATATGATTAATATTTCATATCTATATAATCAGCGATGTTTGTCGTCATGTTCAAAGGGATTGGTAGCGTAAAAGGCAATCCTTGGTTAGAGGCAGGCTCTGTATGGAGGAATTGATTAAACAGTGCTTGTGTGTGTGTGTCTTTTACCTCTAAATCTCTATGTAAACTTCTCCTACAGTGTTTAATCCTGCCATGCAGTCGAGTTGCTCCACACAGAACAGTGGCACCACATGTGGCTTTTCTGTACCGAGACTTTTTCAGTTTTGTGATATCTGAGCGGCACAGAACCGGTTCAGAGGGAGAAACCGTCCCTGCGTAAAACTAAGCCCGTGGTCCAGTCCGTGTGGATTGTTGCTCTTTTATAATGTGTTGCCTGGACACAGCTGATCCTTTTGCTCACTGTAATCCATTTTCTGGTGTTTAGTCAGTAAGCACGCAATGGCGGTGCCCTGTGCGTTATATCACATGTCCATATTGCATGCTGCAGCATATTACACAAGTGTCACAGGTTTAAAGCTCCAAATAGGAGCATAGTCGATGAATTTGACAAGTTTCTCGGAGTTGGGTTTGCTTCCCAGAGTCAGTCTGTATCAGCAAAAATGTGTTTTTTTTACACCCATAAAATCTTTTATGGTTGAGACTTGTGCCTGCCCTAACAACACTGATTCATTCTTCAGTGTGTCTGTCTGATCACTGTGAACTATAGAAGACATTTCTGAGCAAATTCTCAAAAGACAAGAGAGCTGCTTTTGCATTGTGAGAGAAAGTTGAGTGTTTTTAAGAGATGAGAAGCGGATTTGTTTTTGTCAGCATCGAGGGTAAACCGGGAGGGAAGTGTCTGAAAACCTGATCTTCTCTTCCTTGCTTTTTCTCTTCCAGCCAACTTCTGCTCCCCTTTCTGTTTTCTTTTTTTTTTCTTTTTTTTTTCTTGTCACAGCCTATGTCTCCGGTGCAGCAGATCAGAATAGCTTCACTGTGTGTGTGTCTCTCGCACACAGTAACGCTCCCCTCCTTAGCGCTCTTTAATTCTCTGTAAATTCCACTGACTGTGAGTGCGTTTGTGTGCGTTCCTGCCTCTGGTCGCCCGAACATCTCATCACATGTGAGGAGTACAGGCTGCCTGGATCTGAATAACTTGAGAGCGACAGAGAAAAAGATGAAGAAAGAAGGGAAAAAAGGGAAAATGGGGCGAGGTGAAGTAGTGATTGTACCAGAGTGTGGCTCTGAGCGGTTGGCTGATGACGTGAAGTGCTGCACACACATCTGGAACAGCTTGAGCAGCTGCACCTGAAGAGAAGGGCTCCTCCGCAAAGCCTCTGCCGGCACTTTCTCTTTCCCCACTCGTGCTTTTTTTTTTTCTTTTCTTTTTCTTTTTTTTTTGCTCCTTCCCCTGTTTTCTCTTGCAGTCTCTAAATCTTTCTGGTTACCGCCTGTCGGAGCGCTGGGATGGTTACCCGCTGTGCATCAGCAAAGAGGAGCGAGTGAACCGGAGCGAAAGAGAAGAGGAGAGACAAGGCACGAGGGGACAGTTACATGGGAAAGAATTATTAAGCGCGAGGTAGGAGAGCGAAGTTGACAACCATGTTACGGGTGTAAGTGAAGAAGAGAGGGAGCGCGAGAAAATTTACAGCAAAAGAGAGGGATGGAGAAGGAGAGAGTGTCAGAGAGAGGGGGATTAAGAAGCCGGAATGCGCTGACACTGGAGACCTGAGTTTCTGTTTGCATTTGGCACAGCACATCCTGCCACTCCACAGGTTTATCCAGACATACACCAATTTACCAACACACACACACACTCGCACACACTGTTTGCTTTGGAGGATGATCCCAAGAGGCCACGCCAGGAGAAGAGAACACCTTCCAAGGAGCTATTAGCCCCTCCACCCCCCCCTCACCCTGAGTTTGCCTCCCACCCAGCTTCCCAAAAGTGCCCTCCCTCCCTCCCTCCGGCCCTCTCAGCCTTACCTGCACTAGTCACAACACGCTGGAGAGTCACCGAGTCAAACTCACTGAGAGCTAAAGAAACCCCCGGATTGCCTATGGGACACAGTTGCATTCACGCTGGCTGAGAAAGACTGAGGAGCTTTACTGATCCGCTGACCTGCAGGATGTCTAAAGCCTCCAGGCTGGCCCGGCCCCCCTCCGCAGGGGCTGGATCCAAGCTGCCCTCCCCGAGGAAGGAATGCCCTGGCACGGCCGCCGTGGCCGGTCGAGCACGGGTGCTGAGCGTGGGGGAGAAGCTGATGAGGGCAGGTAGTGATGGTATCCTGAACAGACAGAAGTCTTTACCGGCTGCTGTGCCGCAGGACAAAGCACAGAGCGAGACTCAGGCCCCGAGCCAGAGTCCAGGTGAGAAGGGCCAAAATATGGACATGGTCCCTCCTAAGACCAAGATCAGCACCCCTAAAGCCTCAACTCAGCAGCAAGGCTCTGTGCACAGTAAGTAATGAACAAACCACACATTGTAAAATGAATGCAGGCTTGTCTCTGGTGGTGTTTCAGCACTATTTACATGTCACATGCGTTTCACGTGTGAAAACGTGATCCATCCACATTAGAAACTCTGATTTTCTCTCCATGTAGCATCACATTAAGGGCATGTAAGTGAATTTGTTTGGATTTGCAGCTGCTGATGTACAATCACCACTGTGGTCACACTTCTTGTGTCTTCTCTTAATGTCTTTGCCCTCATAGTTTTTGGATGATTTGATATATGTGGTACTTTTTCTGCATGTCTTGTGACCATTTTAGTGGCAGTTCATTATGTTATGTCCTGCAAGGATTAAGTCTTCACATGTGCGCTCTCCTCCCTGCCCTGACAAGGATGCCCTTGTCAGGCATTTGCAATCAGCGGGGCCAAAAATAGCAATGAATTTTTGAAAAATGAGATGGTCTTCATTAGCAGTGAAGAAAATGAAATAGAACCGGGAAGTCCACTTTAAATAATAGATTTGTGAGTTTGAAGGCTTCTTGAATGCCAAAACTCCACACAATGACAGAAAGGATTTTGCAACTCTTTTTGAACTCTTTGTCACAGTTCAGCTTCTTCTTCTGCCTGGCAAAAAGTAGTTTATTACGAGGTACCGAGAGTGGGCACTTGCACATTTTTGATTAGTCCACACACTGCATCACCTGGTGTTACTTTTTGTCGTAGCAAAAGTTGAGCCAGGTTCAACTTTTTTCAGCCAGAGAATCTTCCATTTTATCTTGTGCTTCCTTAACTCTGCTGTGTCAGTGTGTCAGTATAATTGATATGAATAAGGAAGCTTCGTTTGATGCTGTGCTATTATCTAGCCTTGATGGAGCTGTGAGGAATAACTGCTCATGGGATCTCTGTCACTATCCCACTGTGGTGTCTGTTGGGTGCAGATTTTTTTTAAGAAAATGGGAGCACAGAGGATGAGGGAAGTGGTCTTATCATTCCCTTTTGGCCTTCTCACCAGATTCCCAACTCTGCAGGGCGCCAGCTTTCATGTCTTGTCAGGACACAGTCATATCACACTCTCAGAGGCAACTTCACCGAGATTGTGCAAGCATGAGGAAATGATGAGGGTGATTCTGTGCATGTACTGTTAGTGGCTGCTCAGAGTATGATTGACAGATTTTTCTCTCATCCGTTGAAGTTGTTCCTGTCAGTCACTCTTGAGTCGCTCTCGACTGTTCAGCTTGTAGTCAAAGACTGGGAAGTGTAAAAGGAGGGGAGGGGGGGTTTAAGTGTGGGGGTGACGTACATGCAGGCAACAGGGGTGAGTCAAGTGAAAGAGTGACAGAAGGAGGTCAGGAATGTGAGCAGGGCATGCTGGGAAATCAACAGGTCTCGAGTTGTGTCTGTGTGTGTGAATGCCTCCCCTCAGTAAAGACAGGTTACGGGTTACAAGGGGGCAGGTTTGTACTGGAAACCAGATGTTCTTTTCTGTGCAGCTTCCAGTCTCCTCTTTACACAAATAAATGCACTTTCTGCAGAGAAGATTCACCTCTTACGGGTCATTCATTTGTTCCTGTTTAACTTGGACTGAAAATTTTCAATCGAACATATGTCATCAATTGAGGGCGTGGAAAGTGACATTCTATTTTTTTTCTTTAACGTATTTCTTCTTTTATCTTCCCGCACAGTTCTTTTGTCCTCCCTCACTCATCATTCTCCTTCGGCTCACTTTGTCTTCTCTTCTCACTAACACCCTCTCCACTTTTGTTTCTTCCTGAGTCTTTCTCCTCTTTTGACAGCATTTGAGTCAGTTATTGAAAGATGCCACCACCACCACCACCCTCCCACACACACTTACACACACGCAAACTCACGAAAGACCATCAAAAAGAATAAATGAAGTGTGTGTATTCTCGGCATTTCGTTTCTTTCCTGCTGTGCATTTTCAAGTTTTTTCCTTTTGAGGCTGCGGGAACTCTGTACGTTTCTGGACAGTAACTTTGAAGTTCCATGTTGAAAAGGCAGTGATCCAGCAGTCCGGTCTCTCTAGAAACTGGCTATACAGTCGGCTGATGCCACAAAGCTTTGATATATGAAGCCTTATTTTTACATGTCATGCACTGTCTTCACTTTCGGCAACTGCTGTTGACTACATGGAGCCATATGCTGCCTAAGTATTTGGATTTTAAATAGGCCAGCACAATTAAATACCCTTTCGCTGCAGGCTAACTGGCAGCTCATCACATTCCCTCCTCACTTATGGCTTGTATAAGCGAGGCTGGTTAATGTGATGGGGTGGGGGGCTTCTGATCATGCCAGGTCTCCATCTCCCAAGCTCATGCCAGTTACAGGGCATGACGGCAGCTAAAGCACAGGCCCACAGGGTCAAACAGAGCTGATGCACACTGTGCTGGCAGACAATAAGTGCGTGTGACAGGTGACATTTCCGCTGTGTGAAAGCTTCAGAGCTGACTGCTGCTCGCCAAAGGGCCCAATTTCAGTCTTAAAGTGGCAGCTTCAACCGAAAGCAAAATCCGTTTGACATTTTCTGTCCAGAGAGGGTATCATGCGAGTCAAGTGCAGACTCAAGTTCAGCTTTCCTCTGATACTCTACACAACGTCGCATCAATCCACTGCTCAGCAACATTTTGTCATAATTTTTTTAGGCGTCATCCTGGACGTACTCCTACTATAGATTTGTCTTATATATCAGGTTCACTGTGCTGCCAAAAGGATGCGGGCAACCAAACCACTGCACCCCTGAGAAGACTGTCAAAAATATTTAGAACCTGGCTGTAAGAATTTGCAGCAACAAGAGCATGACAGAGGTCTGGCACTGATGATGGATTAGCTCGCAAAATTCTTCCAAAGGGTGTTGGAAGGGGTTGAGGTCAAGCCAATGTGCAGCCCAGTTGAGTTCTTTGCTACCAAAACAAGAAAATAATTTCTTCATAGAACTTTTTGTTTGAGACTTTCACTTTATGTGTATATATGTGTGTGCATACAATACAAATCTGTTGTATTAACAGCCGCTCTTTATTTATCTTAAAGAGAGACTCTGCAGCATTATGTAGCCATCTAGATATCAGTCTACTACGTATGCGTACTATACCAGGTAATGTTACTTTGCCAAATCACTGAAGTGTAATGAATGAAGTTGAAAACTTTTGAGTACACACCAATTCTGCGAAACTGAGACCAAATGCTACTTTTGATTTAGGGGACTTAGCAGTACATGGTGCTGCAGGTGTTGGTTCTGTTGCATAATAGTAAGAAGGCTCTGTGTTCAAACCTGCTTGTCTTTTTATGTGGGGTTTTCATGTTTTCTCTGTGCCTGTCTGGGTATTTTTACTGGGTGCTTCGGCTTCCCTCCAAACTCCAAAGGCTTGCATGTTAAATTCATTGTTGATTCGAAATTGGCCATTGATGTGACTGTGGGTGCAAAGGGTTGTTTGTCTCTTTGTGTTAACCTTCTGATGGACTGGCGACCTATCCAGAACCTCTCGTCTGATGTCAGCTGGGATAGGCTTAAGCCCCCTGCCACTTTCTACAGGATAAAGCAGGTCTAGCTGATGGAACTGGATGGAACTTTGCCGTATTACTGACCTCAAAATCAGCTCCAGTTCCTCCTGGTGGATCCCAAGGCATTCTGAGGCCAGATAAGATATGTAATCCCTTCAGTGAGTTCTTGGTTGATCACGGGGTCTCTTCCTAGTTGAACGTGCCTTAGAAACCACCGAAAGGAGGCACCCAGGAAGCATCCTAATCAGATTCCTGAATCACGTCAGCGAGCAAGAGTAGTGACTCTACTCTGAGCGCCTTCTAGATGTTTGAGCTCCTCGCCCTATTTTTAACGCTGGTCCAAGCCACCCAACGGAGGAAACTCATTTTGGCAGCTTGTGTCCACATTCTTGTTCTTTTGGTCACTATCCAGACCACATGACCATAGGTGAGGGTTGTAGACTGGTGAATCAGCAGCTTTGCCTTCTGGCTCAGCTGCGACACCACAATTGTCTGGTACAACACCGACATTATTGGTGACATTGCACCGGTTCATGTGTCTATCTCATGTTCCATTCTCCCATCTCTTGTGAGCAGGATCCCAAGATACCTAAACTCCTTCACTTGGAGCAGCAACTCAACCCCAAACCAAAGAGATCAATCGATTGGTTTCTGGCTGAGAATCATGCCATTTTGCCACAAGGTAAAGGCAATGATAAAATAAGCACCACTGAAATACTGACACATAACTAGAAGTGGCCCTCCATATATGACGCCCTGTCAGACTTAACAGCTTGCCTGATACTGTGAAAAATGGGATGAGGAAGGCAGAAACAGATGATAAAAAAAATTGTAACTGATATTGACATTGTGACAAGAGACATTGTGTGAAGGGTATGTTTTTATGAGCAGGGATAAAACCTGTGACTTTGATAATTGGAGCAGTTCGCTCTAAAGAACTGAGCCGAAAATGAACTGATGTCGTTGCTCTGAAGCTACACACAGAAAAGGCTTATGTTCGGAGGGCAGTGTCAATTCTTGTTTGAGGATAAAAAAGTAAGTTGGCACAACAGGGCCCCTTGACGGTCTTCGGACCCTACACACATGCGTAGTCCATATTTGGCAAGAAACTGCTCTGATTTTATTACCTATCATATCCACTTTTCATTTGTAAAGGGAAGCATATGCTATGTGTAATACTTCTCTTTTCTATCATCAGCCCAAACTATTGTTTTAAACTATCAGTGCAAAGGCAGACCATCTGGAAAGGTTAAAGTGGGGAAAGACTTTGGCTAATAATGACTTAACCTCTCCCTGGCTCTCCTATCAATCTTTGCTATCTCCAAACCTTCCAGAGTCTTTTCTGTCTTCGCGTCTAGACCGACTTGAAAGTTTTCCAGCTCATGTTTAACCAAACGGGTCCTTTGATCCTGTGACCCATCAGACAGAGATTGAGACGCTCTTGAGATAAAGTCACTGCTCCGATTCTGGATGACCTCACCTTTTGTTGATT